TAGGTACTCGGGGTCCTGGTGTTGCTCCGCACACCCGTGGTGCCCTCCACGGCTCCGACCCTTGGCAAGGGCTGCCTCGAGGTCCTCAGCAGAGCCTACACTGGCACTGCAATGGAGCTGAAGCAGATCTGTCAGCTCTACTACCCCCGCGGCTTCTGCCAGAGCCCTGGGAAGTCAAGTATGTTGTGTTTGCATGCAGGGGGCTCTCACGGACCTGCAGGGGTGTGGGTAGAGGTGGCAGTAAGGACTCTTCTCCCCACCAGCCCCTCATCAGCTGCTGGAGCAGCTCTGCACTTCCACCACCTCCCTTGTCCTCAAGGTTTCCCTCTGGAAAGGCAGGACAAGTGCAGGCCAGGGGTGAGCAACCCCAGTTCATAGTGGGAGCTGAGCAGAGAGGCTTTGCTCAGAGGGGGAATGGCTGTGCTCGCCTGCACCACTTCGTCACCCCAGCTACGGGGCGTGCCGGCAAGGGCTGTGCTGGGAACACTGGAAAGAAATCATCTGCCTGCAGCCCGGGTCACTTACCTCAAAGCTGCCTGAGTGCACGCTGCAGCTAGCAGTGGCTCAGGCACAGCAGAGCTGGCAGACACCGCGAGAGGAGTGCAACCACAGGCATCATAAATTCAGGCAATTTCTGTTTTCAGCAAGTACTCAGCTGCAAGCATATGGAGTGCAAGTAAACAGGAATGATTTAATTATCATATAAAAGTAATTAATTAGATCTAGGAATCAACAGGAAGTCCTCAAGCACTGGTGGCATATTACTGTCAGTCATAGAACTGTTATCCACAGACCTTCATGAGCAAGAACAGACACTATTTTCTATACTTATTGTAGTAAAATTATTTCAGCTTTTTTTTTTCCTCCAAGACAGACAAAAATAGGGTTTAAAAATGTAACCAGAGAGCATAAAACAACTTCAAAGCAAGTAACAAACACAACACTGGAGTTGAGTCAGTTGACTCAGCAATTCTAAAATTAAATAGGCTAAAGGTCAATCGGTAAACTTCATTCTTTTTGTTAGAGGACTGGGGACAACTAACATGATGTTAAGTATGGGTTAGGCCATTC